GCTCTGATGCATTCCTTTAGTTTAGCGAAATGGCTGAATTATACTGACTTAATCAATGCTTTTTTTTTTTCGTTTTCTTTTGTAATTATTGGTGTTTCGTATTCTGTTAGGTAGCATCGACGAATGACCGATGAAATGTTTTCCCCTGTCTAGGGCTTCCTCATACGTCAGTACGTCAATGAGTTCGTCACTCCGTCAATGAGTTCGCCACTCCGTCAATGAGTTCGCCACTCCGTCAATGAGTTCGTCACTCCGTCAATGAGTTCGCCACTCCGTCAATGAGTTCGCCACTCCGCCAATGAGTTCGTCACTCCGTCAATGAGTTCGCCACTCCGTCAATGAGTTCGCCACTACGTCACTTGGATGATTGACGGACTGACGCCAATGACGGATTAAGCCAATGGCAATGAATGACGGAGCTACCGATTCATTGATGGAGTGACGGGTGAATAAGGCGTGTATGTCTAAGGGCCACCTCATACGTCAGTACGTCAGTGAGTTCGTCACTCCGTCAATGAGTTCGCCACTCCGTCACTTGGATGATTGACGGACTGACGCCAATGACGGAGTGACGGAATCATTGACGGATGAATAATGTCTGTATATGCCCTGGATTTTGTTATACGTAGCTACGTCAATCCGTCACTGGGATGATTGGCGAACTGACGTCAATAACGGATTGAGCCAATAACGCAGTGTATCAGCCCTGGACTACTTCATGCGTCATTACGTCAATGAGTTCGCCACTGACGGACTGGCATATTCTTTCGTTTTATTTTAAGAAAGGCTAGTATTCATCATTTTGTAAGGTAGCATCGACGTAAGTCTTTCTAAAAATTTCGTTTTGATTTCGTTTTGTGATTATAATTCATTAATATTAAATTTTTTGTTCGGTAGCATTGACGATTGACGTTATGACGGAATCACTGACGTGAGTGGCGAACTCACTGACGGTAGCATTGACGATTGACGTTATGACGGAATCACTTACGTGAGTGGCGAACTCACTGACGGAGTGACGAACTCACTGACGGAGTGACGAACTCACTGACGGAGTGACGGGTGAGGTAGAATTAATTGACTAGTTCCACAAATGAAACCCCTGCTAAATTGTTATTGTCTAGCAATTCTAGATATTAAAACTAAAATTCCTATATTTAAGAATAATGATACAGTGGATCACGAAAGGGTTTAAACTTATCATAAAAGATATCAGGACAAAATGAAAGATTACACAGATAAAAAGAGACATACAAAGTCTCATAGTTTTGAAATTGGTGATATTGTGTATATTGCAAATTAAAATCCTAGTAAATTACAATCAAACTATAAAAGTGTGAAATATGTCATAATGAAATTTATATCTAATGAAACTTGTGAAATTGTCAATACTGAAACTCAAGTAAAATTGAGTGTTAAATTTTTGAGACATGTACCTTTAAAAAGTAAGGATTTATTAGTAGATGATATATCTGATATGCAAGATGTTAATTTTGAGAATCCAATGATTTTGGCAGAACCTCAGCCTCAGACAAATATCCAAACGATCACATTTAAAACATTTTTGACCAGATGCATTTTTCTCGCTTATAATTATGAGCATCATTACCACATCTACCAGGCTATTCAGTTTTCTTAAAGTTCTGTTCTGATTTTTGGTTTGGCTTAGATTTGACATAATGAACTGATTCTCCTTTTTTTTAGTTCTTAGATTGTATACTTGCCATTTCTTCTGCTCGAATTTAATCAACAGCTTTTGTCCGTGTTAATTTATCATCTCTTACATACGCGCTATTGTACACACAATTCTGTCTCTAATTAAACTATCTTTCAAACTGTCACAAGATGTTGGAATGAAGAATACAATTAAAGGGAAACAACCCTAAACAATATACATTATTATATTATTAATTAATTAATTACTACACTGACCTTCACAAGTAGTACCAGTAAATTTATCTGTACAAACACATGTTCCATCAGACTGTTCTGTTCCACCATTTTTACAAGGATTCGCTTAAAATAAAACAATCGACACATTATATAACTTAAAACGTACCTCATACATATACTGGACAATGGACAATCAATTTAATTAAAATAAGATTTGAATTTCTTATCTATTTTTTAGTTGCTGATATTTCTACTCTACATAGTAATCTATATCGCTCTATATTGATGTATTGAGTACTATTTTAACAGTGGTATTTCTATATTGCTCTACAATTGATGTATTGAGTACTATTTTAACAGTGGTATTTCTATATTGCTCTACAATTGATGTATTGAGTACTATTTTAACAGTGGTATTTCTATATCACTTTCTACAATTGATGTATTGAGCACTATTTTAACAGTGGTATTTCTATATCGCTCTCTACAATTGATGTATTGAGTACTATTTTAACAGTGGTATTTCTATATCGCTCTCTACAATTGATGTATTGAGCACTATTTTAACAGTGGTATTTCTATATCGCTCTCTACAATTGATGTATTGAGTACTATTTTAACAGTGGTATTTCTATATCGCTCTCTACAATTGATGTATTGAGTACTATTTTAACAGTGGTATTTCTATATCGCTCTCTACAATTGATGTATTGAGTACTATTTTAACAGTGGTATTTCTATATCGCTCTCTGCAATTGATGTATTGAGTACTATTTTAACAGTGGTATTTCTATATCGCTCTCTACAACTGAGGTATTGAGCACTATTTTAACAGTGAAAATATTGTATTATTGTACTTTGTAATCTTAATAGTTTTATACATCTATTGTGATAGAGATACATACCGTCTGGACACATCTATTGAGATAGAGATACATACCTTCTGGACACATCTATTGAGATAGAGATACATACCTTCTAGACATTATACATCTATTGAGATAGAGATACATACCTTCTGTACATTATATATCTATTGAGATAGTGATACATACCTTCTAAACATTATACATCTATTGAGATAGAGATACAGACCTTCTAAACATTATACATCTATTGAGATAGAGATACATACCTTCTAAACATTATATATCTATTGAGATAGAGATACATACCTTCTAAACTTTATATATCTATTGAGATAGAGATACATACCTTCTAAACATTATACATCTATTGAGATAGAGATACATCCCTTTTTAAACAGTATACATCTATTGAGATAGTGATACATACCTTCTAGACATTATACATCTATTGAGATAGTGATACATACCTTCTATACATTATATATCTATTGAAATAGAGATACATACCTTCTAAACATTATACATCTATTGAAATAGAGATACATACCTTCTAGGCATTATACATCTATTGAGATAGAGATACATACCTTCTAAGGGCGCGGTAATTAGGTCACAGGAAATTCGGTAACCGGAACTTTGGTCACAGTAAAAAGGTCACACGGTAATTTGGTCACAGTAATAAGGTCACACGGTAATTTGGTCACAGTAAAAAGGTCACACGGTAATTTGGTCACAGTAAAAGGGTCACATGTTAATTTGGTCACAGTAATACGGTCACACGGTAATTTGGTCACAGTAAAAAAGTCACACGGTAATTTGGTCACAGTAAAAGGGTCACATGGTAATTTGGTCACAGTAATACGGTCACACGGTAATTTGGTCACAGTAATAAGGTCACACGGTAATTTGGTCACAGTAATATGGTCACACAGTGATCTGGTCAAGGCAAAACTAGTAAAATGAAATTACTGGTAACTGGTGTAGTGATATTTATTTCATAATACATATTATAGTGTTCTGCTTGCCCTCTGCCAGAGATGGGTGGACCTTGTGGGGCCCTGAACGGTCGAAAAGTATTTGGTATACCTGTCAATCTGCAGCTATATAGTTATTGCTGATACAACCCGCCACCGGTCTGCCTTACCACCGTTTAACTTTTGCCGACTCTCGCCATTCCAAATTACAGAATTCTCACTCACTGAATGCAGCCTGTGAAATCATCCAGTATTGACTTCAGCAATGAAGTTGATTTAATATGTATTTTATATATAATCTCCACTACTCATAAATTTCCGTGCCTGTACCAATAACGTGAGCGTTTCAAAGCAGATTCTTTTCGATTTTCGGGTGGGGGTAGGGTGAGATGCTTCAGCACGTATCTCACGTATCTGAAGGCCGCCCATCTCATCCTACCCGAAAATTGAAAAACGCTTAGGTCATTGGGACAGGCGTGGAAGTTTACGAGCAACGGTGCTAATATATACGAGTGGACGCCCACATGGCTATACGCCCACCAGCAGCAAATCTCATCGCGGCTTTCGCCTTTTAAATAGCATCACTACTTCCATGTAGCCAATATACACAGGTAAACTAGGTTTCAATCGAATCAGAAAAGAAATTTCAATAAATTTTGTGCTAAGTCGGGGGCAAAGTCACGAACCTACTTAAGTTGTGACATTGCCCGTCCTAGACCATTTATTGAATCTAGTTATCAACTACAAGCGGTTGATATGAATAAGATGACCAACACCACTGAAAATGGGTAATTTTACTGTGACCAAATTACTATGTGATAGTATTACTGTGACCAAATTACCGTGTGACTTTTTTACTGTGACCAAATTACCGTGTGACCTTATTACTGTGACCAAATTACCATGTGACCTTTTTACTGTGACCAAAATACCATGTGACCTTTTTACTGTGACCAAATTACCGTGTGACCCTTTTACTGTGACCGAATCACCGTGTGACCTTATTACTGTGACCAAATTACCATGTGACCGTATTACTGTGACCAAATTACCGTGTGACTTTTTTACTGTGACCAAATTACCGTGTGACCTTTTTACTGTGACCAAATTACCGTGTGACCTTTTTACTGTGACCAAATTTCCGGTGACCGATTTACCTGTGACCTAATTACCTACATTTACATACCTTCTAAACATTATACATCTATTGGTATAGAGATACATACCTTCTGGACATTATATATCTATTGAGATAGAGATACATACCTTCGAAACATTATACATCTATTGAGATAGAGATACATACCTTCTGTACATTATACATCTATTGAGATAGAGATACATACCTTCTAGACATTATACATCTATTGAGATAGAGATACATACCCTCTAAACATTATACATCTATTGAGATAGAGATACATACCTTCTAGACATTATACATCTATTGAAATAGTGATACATACCTTCTAAACATTATACATCTATTGAGATAGTGATACATACCTTCTAGACATTATACATCTATTGGTATAGAGATACATACCTTCTGGACATTATACATCTATTGAAATAGAGATACATACCTTCTGTACATTATACATCTATTGAGATAGTGATACATACCTTCTAGACATTATACATCTATTGGTATAGAGATACATACCTTCTGGACATTATATATCTATTGAGATAGAGATACATACCTTCTAAACATTATACATCTATTGAGATAGAGATACATACCTTCTAGACATTATACATCTTTTGGTATAGAGATACATACCTTCTAGACATTATAATACATCTATTGAGATAGAGATACAAACCTTCTAAAAAAATATGAGAGAGATACATACCTTTTGGACATAATGTTCTTTCTAAATCACTCAGACATTGTGAAAGTGAGGGTTGATAATTGTATCTTGATCGACTGCCGTATCGGCTGCTGTATCTAGAACTGCTGGAACTTTTGAGCATAGCGATCAACACAAACATCGACACATAAACTTTGAAAGAACCCATTTTGTCAGATTTTCAATTGAATGGACACAAGATTGTCATGTAACAGTATTTATAGTTATTTAGAGCTGCACCTGCATAACAGTTATTAAAATTATTCCTTCCCATTTTAACATTAAATTTTCGATCATAAATTTTAACTGAAAAAAGTAAATATGTTTTTGCGGTGAAAATAAAATGTATTTTTATTCACTTGTCCACACAGTATGCAGGAATTTTCTTTAACTGCCTTTCGTATGGAGATATGGGGTAGACCTACTAGTTTATTTGTATGTTGAATTATGTAGATGAATACATGAGAAATCGGCGTCCATTGAGCTATTAGTATAGGATAAAACACTGCCGAGGATTTATATGATATTAGTAGTACTAGAGCTTTCAATTAGGTCGCATAAAAGGGGATTCCCCATTCCATTTCATTTCATGGGGAAAATGCGCCCCTAATTGAAAGCTCCCATAACATAAAGACCTAATCATCCTTCATTTCATAAATTCTTACACTAAAAAAGACCTAAACATCCTACATTTCATAAATTCTTACAGCAAAAGACCCAAATTCCCTACATTTCATAAATTCTTACACCTAAATTCCCTACATTTCATAAATTCTTACAGCCCTACATTTCATACACCAAAAACACCTTCAATCAATTTCCTACATTCCATCAAAAAAGCATATTAAAAATAACCTTATATAAAATAACCTCGTTTAAGTAATGTAGATGGGAGATAACTCTTTTTGGATAAAAAACAGACTAAATTAAGTCATTTAAAAATAGGATGAGTTTAATTCTAAAACACGAACAACACAGATTCGAAGATTATTCGGGCGACGGTATCTTTTCTTCATTTTTTTCTCTAGGTAAAACAATAATTCCAAAAGTAGCTAGCTTTGTTTCAAAAAACAAATCACTCATTTCAAGCGGAGCGAAAGCCATCGGCTCTATCGCTGAAGCTGGAAAGAGAATAAGCGATACAGTGAAACAATCTAACGAGTTGAAAGAATTAGAGCTAATAAGAGAACTTCGAAACAGGAGATTAGAAGAAAGGAAAGGAAAAGGTTTTAAAGTTATAGGATAAAAATGATTGTCGCTCACGCTCCAAAAACTTATTTCGGTTCAGGAGATATACAAAAAATCATTGGGTTCTCTTCCTGGATTTCCATGGGCGAAATATCCCGGAGAAAAACATCTCCCAGGGCATAATTACACAGGTCCAGGCACAAGGTTAGATCTGCGATTAGACGAAAACGATAAACCCAAACCAGGGGAAGAACCAGTAAATAGAGTTGACGCCGCTGTGCTTAAACATGATATTTTATACAGAAACAAAGACATAAAGTTTAGACACGAAGCAGACAAACAAATGATAATCGAACTTGAAAATATTCCAAATCCAACTTTCAAAGAGAGAATGGAAAGAGCATTAATCATTAAACTGTTAAAAGCAAAGATGAAATTAGGTATGGGATTGGCGGATGAAATTCATAAAGAATTTAGAAAAACTAAAAACTTTTTAAAAGTCAAAGTGTTTGAAAAAGATGAAATATGGTCAGCCGATTTAATTCATATGCCAGTCGAAAGAGGATTTAAATATTGCTTAACAGTTATAGATTTATATACGAGATATGTATGGGTTATTCCTCTGAAAAACAAAACGGGATTATCAGTCAAACACTCATTTGAAACGATTATGAAACAATCTAACTGACATCCAGAAAAACTATGGGTAGATAAAGGAAGTGAATTTTATAACAAAAATATTAAATCTCTGGGATTTGAAATTTACAGCACGCATAACGAAGGTAAAGCTGTAGTTATTGAAAGATTTAACAGGACTCTAAAAAATAAATTATTCAAAAAGTTCACGGAATTGAAATCTCAAAAATGGCTTAAAATATTACCAGATGTTGTAGATGAATACAATAACAAAATTCATTCATCTATAGGTGTCACACCAACACAAGCCTCGAGTAATCTAAATATTATAAAGTCAATTAACGCGCAACATAACTACGGAAATGAAATAAAGAATTTAAATATCAAACCCAAATTTAAAGTTGGAGATCGAGTTCGTATTTTCAAATATAAAAGTAAATTCGAAAAAGGTTACGTTGGATACTAGACGAACGAAATATTTATCGTTTATAAAGTAAACACTACATTACCTCCGACATATGAATTAATCGATCAAGACAAAGAACAAATCATAGGTAGGTTTTATCAAAACGAACTTCAAAAAACCAAAATGAATGATGAAGAATTTGATAGAAGATTAAGAGATGTAGACAAGCATTTACGCTTTAAATTTTTTAAATTTAAATGCAAATTTATGTTCAAAATATTATTGAATGTAATACAATTTTTTTCAAAAAAACCGACTTTTAAAAATGAATGAATTTCTCGATAAATATGGAATCGATTCAACCACAAACTTTCAACTTATGAGATGGGCGAATGAGTTAAATATATCACCGTTTTATTATTGTATGAGAGATGAAATAAATAATCTGAAATATAAGAAAGGTAAATTTTACGCTATAACAAATATACATACTTCCGATCAAAAAGGAGTTCATCATTCTGCTTTGTACAAAGACTCTGACTTTTATTTCTTCGATTCTTATGGATTAGAACCCACTGAAGAGATAATCCAATTGACTAATAAACCAATCAAATGTTCAACATTTCAAATTCAATTACCGGGACAAAAGTTTTGTGGTCAACTTTCACTTTGGGTTTTATATCAGTTGAGTTTAGGAAAACAGTTTGAAGAAATTATAATAAAATTAACTCAATAAAAATGGCGAATAAGTTTGGATTAGGTTCTTTACCTTTAGAAACTAAAAAACCTAACACTACAGCGTGGATAAATAAAGCCAAACCTTACTTCCTGGATCAAATCGGAGACACTCTTCAAGGTGATTTAGATATGAACAATTTTAGCATAAATAACTTAAAGTCTCCGGAAAACGATAATGATGCCATTCACAAGAAATATTTAATGTAACAATTAAATTTAATTGAAGTAAATAAAGGACATTTAAACGAAAGAATAGGCGATGTGAAAAGATTCTTCAAACGTCAACTAAATAATAAAGATTTTATTGATGATACTAAATTACAACAAGAAGTAACAAGTTTAAAAAATTTTATTCAACAACAATTATTCAATGTAGTAGATAAAACTCAGTTACAAACTTTAAGTTCATTAATATCTAATTTAGATGATAAGATTACAAAGCAAAAAATAGATCTTAAACAACTAATAGCCAATATTAATCCAGGTATAAGTGAAGACAAATTGCAACGGGAATTAACTAAATTTAAAACTGAATTACAAAAAGAAATAACAAATATTAAACAACAAATGCAAAACATACATGATAGCGAAATCAAAACCTATATTCAACAACAAATACAGAACATTGATGATAGTGTTATTCAACAACAGATAACCACTATTAATAACCTAGTTTTAAAACAAGACAAAAATATAGTCGCATTAGAAAAAAAGTTTCTCAAGAAAGAATCATATTATTTCAATCTTCCATTTGGAAAAGAGAGAGATTACGATATTTCTATTACTGATAATATTGATAGATCAAAAGACTATGAATATAAAAGGTATGGATTTACAGCAAATATAAGAGTATATTTTATTCCAGATAGTGATCCCCCCCCAAAATATTTTTGATTCAGATGATTATAAATTAATATATTTTTATTTCCGAGGAAAACTTACAATTGAAATAACATTTTCTATACAGGTAAAAGTTGAATCAATATTCTTCAGACAAAACTTAAATATGTTTAAGAAATTTAACGCTCGCAAAGTTCTCCAGTTTATCAATGGTACAAAAAATGTAGAAACTAAAGAATTAGAAATTAACGATGAAAACAACAAGGTTAATCACTTATATGAAATTAAAACGAGTGGAAAATATATAGATAGGTTTAGAATGTTAATCATACCAGATAATAAAGAAGATGAACTTTCATTGGGTGATTTTGATATGATATTGGAAACGGAAACTCCACTATCAGTAAGTATTATTAGAAATCCAGAACCAGAAAAAGAAGTAATCAATTATCAGTTTTTACGAGCAACATACTTTGAATACGTAAAACTATATTTTGTTGATAATGATATATTTACCTCACTCGATATTCATAAAAGTCAACAAAATCAAAAATTTTTAATAAGAGATGATGCATATGTTTTTATATTAATCTTTATTGATAGACCAAAATTTTCAGTTCATCTGAATAAGATTAATGATTCGAAAGAACAAATATCGTTAGTATCTGTAACAGTTTATATTGAAGATAGTAAACACAAAGTATTTTTATCAGAAGTTCACTTAATTTAATTACCTAAAAATGGAACTCGAAAGTAGACAAAACTACATGATAGAAAAACAAAACGAACTAAAAGAAAAACTAAAACAATTCAACAAATGCAGAAAAACATGGAGTAGAATCGATTCTGTTTTCATAACATTAAGTACAGTTTTAACAATAGGGATAACGGTGGCAACAGCCGTAACCGGTGGATTAATGCTTCCGATCATCGTCCCAACTGTATTAGCCGCGTTCACTGCCGTTCAAACTTCATCTTGTGGTTTGATTACTTAATGCAGCGGACACACTAGGCGAATTTAATTCGCTGGTACTTCGCCCGAACAATTCGCCACCGAATCCATTCGGCCGACGAAGTGGACACACTGGGCGAATGTTTGTGTCGATAATTTGCCAGCGAATTAAATTACGCATGCGTAGGGGAGACTTAGTCACATGATCACAAAATGGCGGTGTCCAGAAAGAAGCGGAAAGTGGCAATTGTACTCGAAACTCTTTTGGTTTTACGTCGAATGCGAAAAAGAAGAGCGCGATGGGAGAATAGGAAAACCTGGGTAAAGCCATGGATACAACGGCGGCAGACCCATATTCGGGTTTGCTAATATCATATAAGTTGGGCTTAGACTCCCATAATATGACTAATTCCTCTTCTTTTTCCTGACTCCACATTGCATCGTTGGAGGTCGCCATTTTGTTTGTCATGTGACGCTTCGGCGTCTGTGATTGGTTGAGTTATAGCAATATTCGCCTTAAACTTCGGCCGAGTGGACACACTTGCCGAATGAGTCGGCGGCGATTAATATTCGGCCGAATATTATCAAACATGCTTGATGTCGGCGAATGGCTTCGGCCGACGCTCGGGCGAACGTCGGAGCACTGGACACACTAGGAGACTCAAGGCGAATTTTACTGCCGATTGATTCGCCCGAACCATTCGCCGTGAAATTCGCCTAGTGTGTCCGCTGCATTAGGTTTTACATCAAAACAGAAAGCTCATTATAAAAGGAAAACAAAAATTTTAAATACATATCTTAATAAATTGTTTATATTTTTCGAAAGATCGAGAGAGGATAAGAACATAACCATTGAAGAATTAGAAGAATTCAATGAAATTTTAGATAAATTTGATGTAGAAATATCATCAATAAAAGTTAAAATTCCTAGTTAAAAATAGTTGCTTTAAAAATATGAATAAAATTATATCACATGATCTTTTTTCCAATGTTATTGAGCATATCTCTGACGAATTTCATACATTTAACGGACAAATTGAATTAGATGGAGAGATAACTCAAGATGGAAAATACATACAAGACATAAAATTGGTAGGTTTTGATATCATGACTTTTGTCGATTTCTTCCTTGCGCTGGATATTACTTATTCCTATTTCACAGGAAAAATGATTTTCCATAAAAAGGCTAGTGGTGATCAAAGCTCATTATGATTTTTTTTTTTCGAGACAAGAAAAATTCCTAGTTAAAAATAGTTGCTTTAAAAATATGAATAAAATTGAAATTGTAGACGATAAATAATTCATACCAGTGAAAATTTTAGACAAGATTTTAGACAAGACTATTGACAAGATTATTTCTGATGAATTAAAAAATATGAATAAATTCATAACAAATGAACTTTTTTTCCGATGTTATTCACCTTATCTCTAATGAATTTATAACATTTAAAGGGCAAATTGAAATAGATGGAGAGATAACTCAAGATGGAAAATTCAAACAAGACATGAAATTTGTAGGTTTTAATACCAAAACTTTTGTCAATTTCTTCGCTGCAGTGGATGAAAAATCGGATGCCTCCGATTGGTATTTCACAGGAAAAATGATTTTCCATAAAAACAATTTCAAAGAAATAAAAAGATCAAAAAAGGGTAGTGGTGTTAGCCTACTCAAAAAGATAAAAGAATATATCGGTATAAATTGTTATATACCGAGCGATGGATGTTGCTCTGTAAAGTGCGTTAATCATGTTTTAAACGAAGACTACACGAGAGAATTTCAAGATTTCATCAACAGTTTTCAAAAATCAAACAGAAAAGGAGTTATGACAACTGCTAGAATCTGCGAATTCAATAAGAAATTTAATACTAATTTTCAAATATATATGCCCAAACATAGACATTTTCAACCAAAGAAAGTAACCGAAGAATTAGATTGGGTTTTTTATTTACACAAAGAACACTTCTGTTTGATAAGAAGAAATAACAAAACTTTGGGCATTAAAGAAATAGAAGATGATTACGATGAAAACGTATGGAGAACTTGTGAAGATGATAATGCGGTAACGCAAGTTTCACTTCTAAAACTAAACGTTTTTCCAACCATTCACGATGATTGTTTATACGCTTGGGATTGCGAAACCTACAACGAAAATAAAGCCATACCTTATTCCTGTACTTTAGTTAATTTAGAAAAACTAAGGAAAATGTTAAACAGAATAAATAATCTCTTTCCAGATTTAAAGCCGTCAGATCCCATTCCAGAAGAATTTTACAACAAACTCATGACTAATATAGTAGAAATATTTAAATATAAATGTTACAACGTTTAGGAAAAATAGATCAGAAAAGAATAACATTAATTGCTCATAACGCTAGCGGTTTTGATAACTGCATTATGATCAAAAACGTAAAAAAACTAACACAATGCCCTTTAAAAACAGCTAGAGGAATTCTGTCTCTACCTTTAACTAATTCATTCACTTATGAATATTTACAGAAAAAATGGAAAAGACAGAAAGAAATAAAGGGTAACTCTAATTATTTGCAAAATATTAATTTCACATGTTACTATCAACATGAAAAATCCCAGATCCAAACAGACCCGACGATGCAATTCTACAGCTTTTAGAGATTTGTCTTAGCCTTCAAGAGAAATTCCCCCATGTCTATAAGCAGAAAATGATAGTTGCATATTCAAAAAATAAGAACTTAAATGATAATATTGTTCATAGTAAACTAAAAACAATCAGTACATGACAGATACTATACTTCTCGCCCATCGGGCGAGTTATTTTTTCTAATTTCAGATCAGAATAAGAACAGAAGAAAACCCAATATCAAGACCTTTAACCCTAATTTCTAAATAAAGTGTCTGCTCCACCCTAGGCCTGTACATTTGGGAGAATCAAACCCTCCCTTCCCCGAAATCTAATACTGTCCGTGCCAGGTCAGATCAGACAATTTATTTTGACTTTGGTATATTTTATTTCATCTTCTATATATTTTATTTTTTTTGTATATATTGTATATGTTAGGATTTTGACATTTGTTTCTCGTGCATATAACAAACTTTCTTCAACAAAATTTGCATTAATCTTTTAATCTAACCAAGTAAATTTAATTGCCATTATTTATGTTTTTCTTTCATGTAAATTATACTCCGAGATAATCCATCCATTTAAAGTAGTACTAGGGTATAATCAAAATTCAAAGTTAGTTCTAATCAATTTACAATTCACTAATCCCGCTTATTTTATCAAATATTTCTCATGTTTATTTATTTTATATTTTTGTATTCTTGATTTCTGATTATTTATGTTTTTCATTTATGTAAATTGTACTCTGAGATAATCTAATCCTCCTGAATTATTACTCAGATATAATCAAAATCTAATCCAATATTTCTATAATCCTCAATTGATCAAAGATATGACTCAACTAATTAAGAAATCAAAAATAAACCTAATCCTCAACTGATCAAAGATATGACATGATTCACTTAGTAATTTTTAGAAAATCAAAAACCTGTATTAACTGACTACTATATAAATCGCAAATTCAATCCCATTTCATAACCATTCCTCGACACATGAAAAAGGATAATATTTCGAAAACCGGTTCGTGTCAATTGCGTAAGTTTTTGTTTTACTTGTTATAATTTTCACATCATTGTTAGCGTTATTTATCACCTTACTATATATTTTTTAGCATTTTTCATCTTGCTTTATATATCCCCAAACCCAGTTTGACTTATTTGCATAATTTGATCCCAACATTTTCACGCTAGCATATACAGTTTCCTCCTGTTACATCCGCTGTACATTCCCTTCTAACCCCAAGTTATTTTCATTATGCTCCCCAACTACAACAACCACTGGCAAGATGCCAGAAATAGAAACACTAATCGTCAACCAAACCAATATCACGTACCCTACAACGGCCCTGTCTTCCATCGACCTCTACCAACTACCAAT